CAGCTGGTTGGGAAGAGCCAGAGGGACAAGCAAAATGAATGCATATAAGGGGGCTCTCGCAGCAAATCCTGGTATTTTTCTTGCGGATGGAAGGACCTCTATGCCATACTAGCATAAGGCTTTGCAGACCTGGGGAGCACAAGGTAAGGAATAGTCTTTTATGGTTTCACTTAGCTTGAGAGTACATAGTTTCTGGAAAAGCTCTCTCTCAAGCTTGCCCTGGTGGCTCCCTGAGGCTTTTGAAATCCATGCATGTAGCAGTGGGGACTTTCCAGTCTTCCACTGCTGTGATGCACAAACTGAATGAAACTGAAAAATTTCCTTTTGAGAAGTAGCAAAGCACCAGATTAGGTACCTAAACCCCTTCCAAAACATCATGTGGTGAGATTCTCAAAGAACCAGCTTGATTTTATTGTCCAGCACTTAATTTCCTCTGTTTTCCCAAGTATTTTTACATAATCTCATGTGCATATGTATAAAATTGTTCATCTCCAAAACTTGCTGATCTAGGTTTGGAGCCTAATAAAGATGAGTCATGTTATACTTTAAATGTTGGAGTTATTCTGTATTGTGTGAATTTACCTCCTTATCTATCTAGTGCCAAGGGAGTCCCTACATTGGTACGGACTTGGTCTATCCACTAGGAAAGTATTTGAATTAGAAACATTAAACCAATTTATTTAATTGGTTTTACTGGTAAACCAATAATCTAGAACACTTGATTTAGTAGTTTATTTTTTTAAATTAAGTTGCACCCTTAATTTGGGGCTGTTGAACAGGTCCAAGAGACACAGGATTAAGTTAAAAGGATGAGCATAGGAAGAGCAGGTTTGGGTAACTAAAAAACCCCCAAAACAGAGCAGTGTCTCCCCTATACAGAAGCACAATGCCAATAGTAAAACTGCTGAGAGGGATACTGCATAATCCAATCTATATTCAACCAAGTCTTGGGGTACCTCAAGGTGTTTACTCAAACTAGGTTAAAGGAAAAGGTTGGCCATACTATTTCGCTTTGAGGAGCAGTATTTAAATGGCTGTGCTGTTTACAGATGATTCACAGAAGTTTAGGGCTAGGAGGGACCTTGTGAGATCATTGGTTCCAGCCCCCCTGGTCAAATAACCCCAGCAAGGTGTGCTGTGAATCCAGTCTCCTTCTGGGCTGGGGACAGGCATTACACATAAAACAATTTAAGTGATCAAAAACTGGTGTAAACCTGTAACAGAACAGATGTTCACTACACACAAACCAGTTTGAAAATGAGTGAAACTGGTTTGAGATAAACCTGGTTAAATGTAGTATCGGACTGAACTGATTTGAGTTAAACCAGTTTATGCAATGTCTGTCCCAGACCCCTTCCTGATTTAACTTAAACCAGACTCCCTCAGCATCCTGGCATGCTCTCCACTCTACAGCAGGGCTCGCCCCTCCCCTCTGCTCCCTGGCTGGAGCTTGGCAGAGACTGCCTGGCTTCAGCTTCCCCCTGCTCGCCCCATCCCTGCTAACCAGGGATCTCCGTCCCCTCTGCCTTACTCAGGCACCTCTCAGCATTAGCCACATGCTGGCTATGGTCTGTACTGTGGCAGACAGGACAAAGGCAGAATCAGCAGGTGGCTAGTAATAGGACCCTGTTTTCTTAACAGGGTGATAAATACTGAGGTAGGGATGATAAACACTGTTATCTCTTTCCTGCTGGGCAGTCAGAAGTGGGGGGGATGAACCCCTCCCTAATCAGAGCCATGCCCCCCTCAGCTCAGCACTAGGGAAGGGAAGGGAAGGGAAGAGAGGGCTGCTCTAGCACCCTCTGGCTTCTACCCTAAGCCACTGCAGGAATGTGCCTGCATTTTTGGGATGTCTGTGCAGTTAAAAACTGATTCAGCCTAGCCAGGTTAGAGTAATCTGCAAAGGTTGAATAAATTCAGGCTCAGGCTTTTTGAATGTCTGTCCCTAGCCTTGAAGATCTCCAGGGTAGGTGCCTGTACCACCCCTGCTGGGCGTGTAAACTGTTCTTGCAGTTTGCCTGCTTGTCAGTGGGTCAGGACATCCTGCACTTCAGCGATCCACTCATTAAAAGAAGAGATGTTTAGCATTGCACTGCTCTGCTGTACTGGCCAAGTAAGTAGCCAGCAATCGACGCTGCAAGAAATGAGAACTCCTGAGTTCTCAAGCCCCAGGACAGCATTTACTTGATAAGCAGTGCTAGGATCAAGTGCACTGGGCAGTGCACACTGGACGCCAATTATGGTAATATTTTAAATGAGGTTTGGCTGCCTGCATGGGCTTTCACAAATTAAAGGATTATTAAGTCACTCAGGGGTTGGAAGTGGCTGACTTGCATTCTGGGAGGGACTAACATTTTCCCTTCTTTCCTGGCACACATGACAGACATAGCCAGTATCAAGACAATTCTCACATAAACACTTCAGATGCTGGCTCTTGGGTCTGACTGACCCTTTGTGCTTACAGGCAAGAGCAAAAGGGATTACATGAGAAGAGAAGTCAGGTGAAGGGATAGCTCAGAATAAATACAGGCCAAAGCCATTTCTGTTTACGATGGCAGGCAGGTATCCTGAATCAGTATGTTCTAGTCAGGATTTTGAGCTCCCAATTAAGTATCTGAAACTATAAAAACCTTGCTAGAGGTTGGAAGAGTTGAAGGTTTTCTTTTTATGACAGTGCTGACAGTTCTGGGTTTATACTCAATGAGTCATTTATAGCAGCCAGAGTTGCTAAATGACAGACTATGTACTGGAAGGGGAGAGACGGTCCTTCCACCAATGTCTTACCTACGCCTATACCTATACCTACACATGTCCCAGACAGAAACTGTAGGGGCACATTCTAGCCTGCTACAGGGTAGCAAGTCTGAAAGCTACATGAACAGAAACTTTCTTAATTGAACATTGAACTGTGTGCTGGGGAAAGTGCCCTAGGGAGGAAGCTCTTTGTGGAACAGGTACAGCAGGCAGCTGTTGTAGGATACAAAATTGTCCTACACCCAAAAAACCCTGCAGTGGGAATGAGAAGCCCTATCTCTGTTCCCTTAACCTGTGTCCTGGTCTTAAAAGCAGTCTACACTTGTCCTAGTAACAAAAATGTCTGGTAGCACCTGAGCTGAACTCCCAAGTAGTAGGCACTGGCCAGTCAGCTAATCTTTCATTTAATAACCAACTACTGACTTAGAATACAATGGAAACCAACGCCCTGGTTCTTAAACTTTCTGGATCGATGCATCAGTGTCAACCAAAATTTTCTGCAGGAGCCAGCCAGGCATCCTTCTCAAACATGTTGCTGGAAAGGAGGGAGAGTGATCTGCACATGCATTTGTGAACCACCTACCAAAGCCTTGTGGACCCAAGAGTAGGCTTAGAATGACTGCTGTAGATGGAAGAAGGTTCATTTTGTTACTACTTCTTAATCTATCTAAAAAGAGAATGTGTCCTAAAAGAAGTTCCAGATGCTACATCAAACTAGAAATTCTGTACTGGAACTGTTTTAATTCTGTATACATAGTTCAGCACTAAGACCTTCATTCAGCACAGTTTATTTGTCATGTTGAACAAATAAAGGCAAGATATTTGAAAGAAATGAAAACAATCTCCTGTATCAAACTTGGAGACAATGCCATAAAAGTTGCTATTTCATACATATACAAACTAATGAACCAATACTATTATATACAAATAGCCAGATCTTACAAAATAGCACTTCAAGTCAGCACTTTATGCCAGTGTCACTAATTTCTTTGTTACAAAAAAAGTTAAAGCTACAAACTTCACATTATTTAGTCTCACAGAACTGACATCAGCGTCTTTTCAGGCTGTAAGAAGTGAAGATGACAGTTTGTCCAGAACATTTCTCAGCAATGCATATGGACCCATAAAGCATGTCAATGCAATTTCACAATTAAACGAGCATATTGCTTAACCTTGTTTGCCTGACTAGCCTTCCCTTAGGATACAAGCCTTAGTCTTACCATTTGAAGCAGCACAAGGAGCAAGTGGAATATGCTTCTGCACATTACTGCAAAGAAGCCAAAAAAGGAACAATTTTCTCTACTTGATTAGAAGTCAACTGGAGGAGGGTAGGGAGAACAATATCCATTCCCTATATTTTGGAGAACTCCATAAAGCAGCAAAAGTCTGAACTCTTATAGTCATTTGGGAACAGGTTAAGGAAATTGTTAATTAGACCATTTCATTCTTTCATATATTTGGATTCTTCTGCTAGTGGGTTTTTTTGTTTGGTTGGTTTTGTGCGCGTTTTTTTGTTTTTTGTTTTAAATAGAAAGCTGTTTCAGTGAAGCCTACTGATTGTAAGCATCTGTGAACTAACATATTGCTTTGGGCAATCTCAAATTATGCTCTCGGAGTGAACAGCAAAATGTGATCACCAGATCACCCTTTGCTGTTTTGTTTAGAATTGGGGTTTCCTAATGTCTTCCAGTCGTCAGAAAGTTTTGTCAAGTGACAATTCATTCCCTCCAGAGCCCAGTCTTTACAACACGTAGGCAATGCAATTAGCTCGCCATGCATGGCTCACCTAGTGCACGCGCGCGCACACACACACACACAGAGGCAAAATGCATATATACCACAAATAATTAAACCAAGATCTAATATTTCAAATAAAAGAATTCCATCTTTCTTGTTTCCAGAAGTTCCACTGAAGCACGTGAACATAATAAACATTAATAAGAATCTTTTGTAAATATTTTTGAGCAATAAAAACACATGGCATGAATTTTTAATGTGTGCTGCAGATGGCATCTGTACCCTGTGCAACTATGCTGTATTGTCAATATACAAATTTACTAGCCTTCATGGTTCACTTCACTGCCAGATTTTTATTACTGAGGGATTTAGTCATCTAACAAAGGTAAGGTTCAAATTATTCAGCTTCTGCTGGGGAAGTAAGATTGGACTCATTTTGATGTACTGGTTGCTTTCAAGATCTTCATCCTGTACTTTTCTCAATACTGGAGACTGTCAGAATTCAAGTGCCCAACAGCTGGGCAGAGTGGGTATCCCTGGAACGCATTATCTCATTGTCCTTAACCACACTGCTCACTGACTCCTTTTCCTTTCATACGTCTGCTTGACGAGTTAGATGAGTTTTAGGAGACGGCTACTTTAGCTCTGCACATTCACAACTGAGGAATAAATTGAAGGTGGTGAGAGCTAAACAATGGCTCAGCTCCTTTTAAATCAATAGGATATAAGTTTACTGTAACCTAGGCATTACCTCCCAAGAAACAGGGTCTAAAGCTATGCTTCCAAGTAGGTGTGAAGGGATGCTTCTCTTTACTAACAGCATTTGATTTCAGGAACCACTGCTATTCAGTTTGATTATCTTATGTCATACCAAGATCTGTTTCACAAGGATGATGTGGAAACTGGTCCTTCTATCAGAGGAAAATGAAAATATATTAATGCACATTCTTGATCTGTCCCATGTGTAAGAGACTCCTAAAAAAGCAAATCCTAATATCAGAACTGACATTAGTGGTGTTCTCTAGCTACAGAGTACAGCACCCCCTCTCATATGGCTGCATCTGTAACTGGTAACTCTTGCACTGATTTTTCTGGTTTGCTTTCCCTTACAGCAGTGAAAGTTTACTGAACCATTTCAAGGTGACTCAGCTTGCTTTGATTGTACATCCACTTTCTCCTCATTTTCCACAAGTCTTCAAAAATATGAAAAAAGGTAGACTGTACAGTTATCCCAGACAAAGATTTTAAGGGTGTCCTGAAAAACTAGAAGAGACTGAATTTAGCAACAGCAACACAGGCTAAGTTGTACCTTCAGTCAGCTGACTCCTATGAGCAAGGTTTGTCACCTCAAAAGAAAAAAAATTATGGAATCTTTTTGGGCAAAAAATATTTATTTTTAGCTTAGCCTTTTTGATGCACTTAACCCTTTAGGAAGGTGAAGTACTCTGAAGGTACATTTTTATCCAAACATCCAAATTTACATCTAACTTCTAAAGCCTGTACGAAATCGCCACAATTTACAGTGAAATATTTTTTAAAACCTCTAACAAATGGAGCAGAAAGTACTTAATTTCCTGAGAGAGATTTCACAGAATAATTTCAGCATCCTAATACTGCATCTTGCATGCATGGCAATGCTAGGTGGATCTCTCTGAAGGACATTTCCAAACAGGCATCTGCTTTGTGTTCTGTGTTGCAATTCCACTTTGGTTTTGTCTTAAGGTTAATGTGGCTTTTAAACTGCAGAATATCATTTCCAACAGAGGCACAACATGCTTAATCTACCAGTATTAATTCATACAGTACACATGAAGGACAAGACAGAGGTTTTGAAAAATGCTTTTAAAAGCACATAATGTAAGGCATGGGGCTTATTACAGGCTTTTTAAAATATGAGATATGTTCCTTTCTAAAGGCTGGAACTGTTTTTGTATGTCTTTGTCTAACACTTTTCAGCAACCTCTTTTGTTTGCTCTCACTTTCCATAGTACCTTAACAGTAGAAAGACACAGTTAAAAACTGTTTGAAACTGAGTCTATATAATAACATCAACAACAATAAAAATGCAGGAGTTAAAACACCACAGTACATAGTCACTTGAAAAGAAGAAACTGGACTACTGAAAGTTACTTCAAGAAGAAAACGAGCCAACTTTCATTAGTCTATTTCTAGCTGTTCCTCAGATTTCAAAAAAAAAAAAAAAATCCATCTAAAAGCAGTAACAGAACTCCTCTGAAATAATACACCTCTTATTTTAAATATGTCTAACATTAACACATACCATTATCCATCCATCAGGACTTCCCACTTAATGGCATTCCTGAGTTCACAAAAGTGCTATGGAAAAAAAATAAGTGGGCAGTACTGCCCTCTATCTTGCTAATCAATCTGTTTAGTAGTCATAAAAAGCAAGGAGCTGATTGTTTCAGAGGATGGAGGTGGATTCTACCAGCAGTTCTTTCAGAAGTTCTGTTGCCGACGCTTCTTTGCTTCAATGGCATCGAGGATTGGCTGTCGTTTAGACTGGTACTTCTGGCGGATCTCTTCGATTTCCCGCTCCATCATGGGATCAAGGGCTGAGAGTCTCCTCTGCAGCTCCTCTACGCTCCAACTCTTTAACTAGCAGAAAGAGAAAGAGAATATAACCCAACCTCAGAGTCTGAACAAAAACAGTCAGCACTTCTGCAAGGACTGTGCTCTTCTTGCTCTTACATTATAAATATTAGCATAGCATCCTAACGGTAGAGAGCAAAACTGTTCTGAACTCCAAAAGCAGCAGAGGGGAATAACTGAGAAACAAGATGACAAATAACTTCTGCTCCAAGCTCCTAGAATCCAAATCCTGGTTGCAGTAAAAATTGGTTTATTGTCTCTTTCAGCTAACTCTTACAGTGAAATGTGTGCCAGACAGGCCATACGCACAGCATACAGTATCTACTTAAACTTCAAGGTTTTTAAGAACTATCAGGCATTTCCCATTCTGAGGGCTTTCAAAGAAGTTTTCAAATACTGTCATTTCAAAATGAATCAAAAAGCTTTCCTTTACTGGTTTTCCTTCCTTTTCCTAATAGCCCTTAATTTCACTGAGTAAAGGGACAGACGAAGGGAAAGAAAAAATAAACTGAGAAAGAGACCAGTTTTAGCTTGTTAAACTCCAGAAAGTTAAAAAGTTAGAGGGTTCCTAGACATTTTTGTAGACTTCTATACTTGGGTTATTTTCTATTTCTGAAAGGCCAAAATGCTGGTTATGAATCACACGCTCATACTTGCATGCAAAAAACCCCACACCATTTGTACATTATTCTGTACCAGCTACCTTGGGAGCATCCAGAGGACAAGCAGCAGTGGCACATAGTTGTGCCACTGCTACTAGCCCCCAGGGAGTGCTGGTGCACACACGCTCTGGTGCAGGGCAAGTTGCCCTGGGTAGGGCAGAGGAGGCTGAGGTCAGCACCTGGGAGTTTTACCTGGGGTTTTGGGGGGCTCCAGCAGAGGTGAAGCAGTGTGTGGAGTCTGACCAGGAGTCTGACCAGCAGCTGAAGCATGGCTCTGGCCAGCTAGACTCTGGTTTTGAGCCATGCATGCTGCCACCATGTGCACTGCCCTGCTCTTTTCAGATGTAGGTTTGTTTGTTTTTTTTAATATCAGGATCTCCCAGTCTCAAAAAATCCCCCGTGCTGCAAATCAGCAGCGTGGTGAGTGGTCTGCATGTGTGATGCATGCAGTTGACGTTGCTGCAGCTGAGACTAGTGCCCCAAACCGCACGTGCGCACTGATCTGGATGCGCCCCCAGAGGTTTTTGGATTTTTTTCAGTCAATCCACAACTTGTCTGCAAATTGTGTTTTCTCAGCTCCCACGAGGTTACCATTGTAATGAGGACAGATTCTTCCATTTAAAAATTTTAAGATTTATGCACTGCAAATTTTCATAAATTACACACATTACACACGTTGGTTATTGAACCAGACATTTTCCCAATTTTTTCAGCCTACAAATTGCTCACAAGGTATTTGCTGCAGCCATTGCTTCAGTTTGCCATTTGCATGCAGTGGATGGTCAGCAAGCCACAGTACCTTTTCTTTTCCCTGAACAAGTGATTCCCAACACTCAAAACAGCTCTTGAAAATAGCCACACCTGTTAAGGGATGCAAACACTTCTACAACTATTTGCACAACCTCTCCAACACTCTCTGCAAAACATTGCAACAGCAAATCAAATAAAGATAAAGTAAAAACTTGGATCTCTGCAACTTGCAAGACAAAGCAATTAGCCACTCTGAACTTCATAATTTCTACAGAAAAGAAGCAAAATCCAAAGGTCCAGGGACCTGGAGAATTGCAACCCTTCTCCATCCAGCCAGACCATTGTTTAAGCTGCATTTGCATACCTGAAAAACAGACTCCACACTACAGAACTCTCTCAACCAGGAGATACATCCCATCTGCCTCTCCTGTATAACAGAAAACACCTTACCAAGGAAGAAAAAAAAAAATCAATACCCAGCTTACCATCACACAACTTGCAGGTAAACAGACTGCTTGAACATTTATTTGAGCCTAACTTGCATAAAAGGAACTTTTCCACCCAGGAGAAACTAGGGCGTCTTTTTTATTCTCCTGTGCATTATGACTTTTCATTTCTACCTGGGATAAATGTTACAATTTGTGCTTTCTCCTTGGCTGAGGAAGGGCACGTGAGCCCGAATCCTTGCATATGTAGGAATGTTTTTTGCAACGATTTTGTTAGTCTAAAAATATCACCTCTGCCAAAAGTTAAGCATATTTTTTGCCTGTTGACCAACATGGCTAAAACCTGTAGCCCTGCAAACACTTTGTATTTCTTGTGTGAAAGGATGGCTTGATTTTGAGCGTTAAATAATGCCATGAGAACATTAGTTAACAGCAGTCAAGATGAGTGTAAATGCCACTCCTGACAATGGTTTATTATTAATTACACAGCTACCACAGTCACCCTTCAAGTCCATTTAGGAACTAAAACCCTTCCAGCCAAATACAAATATTTCCTACAGTCAGTATAAGGAAATGACTGAACTGTACGTGATTGCTATGGTCCTTCAGTTCCTATAATGCTCTAAAATATTAAGAGCAATCTTAATTTCCTGATTAGTTCAAGTGCTTAAATTAAACAAACTGGAAGAGAGCAAATTCAGATTGGACATCAGGAAAAAATTTACAGTGAGGGTTGCCAAAATATGGACTACGCTTCCAAGGGAGGTGATGCTGTTCCCTTCCTTGGAGGTATTTAAAAGGAAATTGGACAGACACCTGGCTGGGGTCATCTGACCCCAGCACTCATTCCTGCCCAGGGCAGGGGGTTGGACTCAGTTATCTAATAGAGGTCACTTCTGATCCTAACATCTATGAAACTATTAAATATTCCTTTGCTAGTCTCTTCAATGGAAGACTGATCTTTCCTAGAAGTTACAAGGTTAATCTCTGATTGGATCCAGGGTGACTCATTTTTTGGAAAATCCTTCATATTTTGTACCAGAAAAAAGGTATTTCCTACTAGCATGTACTTTAAACTCATCAATAATACATGTATTATAATAATCCAAGTACAAGGGAAGTAAAAGCTTTTCAGCAAGGGTACGCAGTCATTTTGCCCAACATGCAAATTGTTCATTAGAAAGACAAAGGGCTTTTTCCATGAAGATATACATTATTTATACACATTAATATGACTTTCCCAGTCGGCAGTTTAAGCTGATGTATGGCACCCGTTTACCGTTTCATACTAATTTAATAACAGCTGTTTTAGAGAAGGTAATTATCCAATACTCTTCTACTTAGGAGTCCAGGGAAATAAGAGTCTGTAGTCAAATAAAATGAGAAAAAAAGAGCAAAACGTTAATTTGAATGCTGAGTACGTATACGAAATGGCTACATAAGCTGAAACTTTAACTGGCTGTCAGCTCTCCTACACTGTGGCCAGGCTTCTTCTATTCAATAAATAAAGAACATTACAAGGGGTATAACACCTTATGCATCAGAATTTATGCCCAACTACGGCATTAGAGGTTGGGAGAGATTTGCGGGGATACAGTGTTCTACCTCCAGCTACTGAGAATTTCTTGTCCCTCCTACTGAAAGCTTCTGGTACTGGGCACCAGAGGAACACAGAGGTAAAATGACAACTGGGGAGAGGGCCCCATTGAGACGGACAATTTCTACAATTCCAACATCACCGTCAATTTAAAGGCTCAGGGCTTCAGGAGGTAGGATTTTTAAATGGTTCCAGAACATGTTACTTCACTCTGGGCTGACGACCACCAGTATTTACTATGTCCCTACAGCACACAGCAGTTTTCAGCTGCAAGGTTAACACTGGGCAGTGCAGGAGAGTTTGCAGAGGGGCCACTATACAACTGGCACCAAGAACCACCTGAAACCTCACCACTCTCCAGGCCAGGTGAAGGGTGCACTTTCCTTTTGGCTATTGCTAACAGCACATACCACTACAAAAAAAAAAATGGATTCAGATAATTTTTCCTCTAGAACAGAGAGAAGGGACCTATGTAATATATGGCAGATACCACTCAGTTCAACCCTGCCAACACTCTCAGCACCATACCAATGGGTGCAACCCAAGAACACAAGGCTGAGAATTGGAACAGCAAAGGTGTTGTAAGTCAGGATCAATACATGGGTTGGTGGAAGACTGAAAAGAAATAAAACTGTTCCTGCCTTAAGTGAAGGCTATTATTCTTTCATTATTCTCTACTATAAAATGACCAGGGGCTTTCCACATGAACCATATAACTGTGAGATCCCATAGGGCTACAGGTACATGGAAAGGGTTAATAATACACAAATAATCGTTTGCAAAGGGAACAATGGCTTTTTTAAGAAACCAAATAACTGAATTCTGTGAATCATTAAGTCAGGACAGATGGTTAACAGCATGAAAGATGTTTGTGGTACAGCTGGATCTTTATCCCCAGAGATAAAGGTTAATTAGAAGAAAGGCAGAGGTGGGTTACTTGGGTAGGCAGGACCTGATGCAGAACAAAATGGAAGACAGCTGGCTAGAAAAATGTTCCCACAGAGGGAGATCAGGGTATGACACACTAATTTGAACATGGAAGTGCTGTGTGATGCAATACAATTTCAGAGGCTAATGGCACTTGACAAAATCTCCTTCCATATGTGGCATAAGGATACTCTAATTACTCTAATGACTACATCTGGAATAATGTTAGTGTAGTTGAAAGCTCTGTACTATTAAAAAGCCAGATGCACCAATAGACAGCAAGGATACAAGGTTTTAGATGAGATCTAGTCAAGACAGGTAAATGAAAAATAGGACTTACAAATTCCTAATGAATGAAAATGAAGTACCTAGTTAAACCGAAAAGCAAAGACAACAGGCACTTTTCTTCCCTATAATGAATGAGACTGCAGATGGCAAGTAGCACACATTCTCTTGATTTCAGGCACGTCTAGCTAGAACATGGGTGGGCAGGATACGGCCTGCAGAGGGGCTTTGTCTAGCCTGCAGCAGGTCCCTCGGCGCTGCCTGGCCCAGGTACCGTCTGGCTGTGGTGCGTCCTGCTGCCCCCCGAGCACACAGCAGGTCTGTGGAGGCTCCACGGCT